TTTACCAACAGAGCAAGAAGTCTTTCAGTGTTTATGTCAGGATTACGGCTCCTCAGCAGCCTTTTCAGAGATTTCAGAACGAACGGATCTATTTCCTCATGGATCGACAAGCGCGGAAACTTGGTTTCGAAAAACTACAAAAGGCAGCATTTTGGTCACAGAAGACAAGAAGGGGAAGATTACCGTAGTCCATGCTTTCTCTACACACGCACGTCTTTGCTTGGATTACAGCTTCAATGGAAAGTGTGATAACCACGACTGTACATATTTGCATATTTGCAGAAATTACATGACTAATTCCTGCAGTAGGGGAGTGACATGTCAACTGAATCACCGCTTCCACAACCAGAGAGACAGGGCTTTGCTGTCCAAGGTCAATTTTGATGGGTTTACAGATCTTCAACTCCAAATGCTCGTGCTTTCATCGACACCTCAGATCTGTCTTAAGTACAACACTGACGGCAAATGCAAACGGGGTAATTCTTGTTCCAAGATTCATATCTGTCATGGTTTTCTACGGAAATGTTGCAGTGGCGACAAGTGTAGTTTACTTCATGAACCAGCCATGGATACTGACCACACCAAGGCAGTTCTCAAGCGTCTTATGCTGAACAATGTCGACAGACATGAAGTGATGAAGATGATTCTTGACAACGAGCTCAGTTTATTGTCAGACAGTGACAAGACAATGTTGAGCAATAATGTCGAAAAGCATGAAGTGATNCTTGTAAGAAACAAAATTACTGCCACACAAAGTAAAGTTTATCAAAGCACCCATATATGTCCTGAAGCACATGATTTTAGCTTTGAGATCTCATAAAAACCGATCGAAACTGCATTTAGGTTGATTGTTTGTCAGTGTGCTTTGTAATTACACGTAACACTCAGGTTTGGTTGACATGTCCAGCAACAACATTGTGCAACAGCAATGTACAAGTTTCACGATTTCGGTAAAAATCAAAATGCCTCAGTTTCCCACTTTCTTGTGTTGACAGGCCACACTCATCAGGATAAGCCAGATGCATCTATCTGCCCACAGTTTCTTATTGGCAGATGCGACAAAGGCTCGGCATGCACAGAGCTTCATTGTTCTTTGCCTTACCACTGGCAATACAAAGTTTCCCTGTTTGACGAATGGAAATGTTTCACGGATGAAGACAACTTGGCTCTAGAAACGCTGTACTGTGATGTGAATGTCGGAACGCTAGTGAATTTCAAGCCAGCCAAGTCCCTTGATTTTTCTAATCTTAAAAGGCAGGTAATATATTCATTTCATACTTAAACCAGAAATGGTCTCTCGTCATGCTACGAGTTTTACCGTTGCCACTGGTTACCAAAATTTTGGTAAGTTTTGACAACTTTTTGCTATCTTTCTAACAACATTGGTTTGTTTTGAACTTGCCAGTAAAATGCAAGAACTGTGAAAGATGCAGCATTCAATTGTGAACTCGGCCTCATTCACTTCCTTCAATTTGATTGGCCAATTAAAAACAGAATTAAGCCATCTGTTATTAGCATATTTTACATGTCTTAACTTATTTCAATATTCTTAGGTCTGTGAAA